TAGTACAGTGTTGTATAATGGTGTACTACACTATACTACACTGTACTACACTATACAACACTGTACTATATTATACAACACTGTACTACACTATACAACACTGTACTATATTATACAGCACTGTACTGCACTATACAACACTGTACTACACTATACAACACAATACTACACTATACAATACTGTACTACACTATACTACACTGTACTATATTATACAACACTGTACTACACTATACTAGACTATTCAGAACTGTACTACATTATACAACACTGTACTATACTGTACAACACAATACTACACTATACAACACTGTACTACATTATACAACCCTGTACTACACTATACTACACTATTCAGTATTGTACTACATTATACAACACTGTACTATACTGTACTAGTGTTGTATAATATAATACAGTGTAGTATAGTGTAGTAAAGTGTTGTATAATATAGTACAGTGTAGTATAGTGTAGTACAGTGTTGTATAATATAGTACGGTGTTGTATAATATAATACAGTGTAGTATAGTGTAGTAAAGTGTTGTATAGTGTAGTACAGTGTTGTATAATATAGTACGGTGTTGTATAATATAATACAGTGTAGTATAGTGTAGTAAAGTGTTGTATAATATAGTACAGTGTAGTACAGTGTTGTATAATATAGTACAGTGTTGTATAATATAGTACAATGTTGCATAGTGTAGTACAGTGTTGTATAATATATTACAGTGTTGTATAGTGTAGTACAGTGTTGTATAGTGTAGTACAGTGTTGTATAATATAGTACAGTGTTGTATAATATAGTACAGTATTGTATAGTGTAGTACAGTGTTGTATAATATAGTACAGTGTTGTATAGTGTAGTACAGTGTTGTATAATATAGTACAGTATTGTATAGTGTAGTACAGTGTTGTATAATATAGTACAGTATTGTATAGTGTAGTACAGTGTTGTATAATATAGTACAGTGTTGTATAGTGTAGTACAGTGTTGTATAATATAGTACAGTATTGTATAGTGTAGTACAGTGTTGTATAATATAGTACAGTGTAGTGTAGTACAGTGTTGTATAATATAGTATAGTGTAGTACAGTGTAGTACATTGGTATATATATATATATATATATGTGTGTATGTACTTATTGATAATTGAATATTTACAGACATTATGATAACATTACTACAGAGTGAAACTGGGGTGATAACATTACTATAGACTGGAGATGGTGTGATAACATTACTGTAGAGTGAAGATGGTGTGATAACATTACTATAGACTGGAGCTGGTGTGATAACATTACTATAGAGTGAAGCTGGTGTGATAACGTTACTGTAGGGTGAAACTGGTGTGATAACATTACTATAGACTGGAGCTGGTGTGATAACATTACTATAGAGTGAAGCTGGTGTGATAACATTACTGTAGAGTGAAGCTGGTGTGATAACATCACTATAGACTGGAGCTGGTGTGATAACATTACTATAGAGTGAAGCTGGTGTGATAACATTACTATAGAGTGAAGCTGGTGTGATAACATTACTGTAGAGTGAAACTGGTGTGATAACATTACTATAGACTGGAGCTGGTGTGATAACATTACTATAGAGCGAAGCTGGTGTGATAACATTACTATAGACTGGAGCTGGTGTGATAACATTACTATAGAGCGAAGCTGGTGTGATAACATTACTATAGAGTGAAGCTGGTGTGATAACATTACTATAGACTGGAGCTGGTGTGATAACATTACTATAGAGTGAAGCTGGTGTGATAACATTACTATAGACTGGAGCTGGTGTGATAACATTACTATAGAGTGAAGCTGGTGTGATAACATTACTATAGAGTGAAGCTGGTGTGATAACAGTATTATCGTGTATCCTGTGATGTAATGTAATTCGAATACCTTTTGTTTCATCATATTCATTTGTACTCTTGCTCAGCCTCTTCAAACAATGAGTAGCTTATCCGAAAGGTTCTACTGTTTTACGAATGTCGTACAACAAAAAGATCATTGTTACATCTGTAGCTCACCCTCTTCAAACAATGAGTAGCTTATCCGAAAGGTTCTACTGTTTTACGAATGTTGTACAACAATAAGATCATTGTTACATCTGCAGCTCACCCTCTTCAAACAATGAGTAGCTTATCCGAAAGGTTCTTGTACAACAAAAAGATCATTGTTACATCTGCAGTTCACCCTCTTCAAACAATGAGTAGCTTATCCGAAAGGTTCTTGTACAACAAAAAGATCATTGTTACATCTGTAGCTCACCCTCTTCAAACAATGAGTAGCTTATCCGAAAGGTTCTTCTGTTTTACGAATGTTGTACAATAATAAGATCATTGTTACATCTGTAGCTCACCCTCTTCAAACAATGAGTAGCTTATCCGAAAGGTTCTTCTGTTTCACGAATGTTGTACAACAACAAGATCATTGTTACATCAGTGAAAACTAGGAGTTCCGTTTTTCAATGAAAGTTTGTCTACACGTCATCAAAAGTGCGTCCTTGTCCTTATACCTTCTGCGTAGTATATAAATTTATATAGCAAGAATGGAACAAACTAGCACGTTATTATGGTCAAGAATCGTAAAATGTGTCGAAATAGTTTGTATTTATTTAAATTAACAGAAAATTGTAAAATATATCTAACAATTTACTTTTTTGTCAAAACGCTAAAATCTGAGTTTCGATACCCGTGGTGAACACAGCACAGATAGCCCGTTGTTAGTTTAAATTGTGTAACAAACATCGTAAGTATTCGGTAATTTATATATATATATATATATTGTTTTTGACGCATGTGCAGTATGAGTTTTTTAGAAAGTATAACTTCATATAATGATACAGTTTTTTATGTAACATTAATCAAATCCTTGTCCTTGTGAAATGGGAGTTTCATCTCTTATATCAATAAATATTTCGCCGCTTCGTTCGGCATTCTATTCGAATTCAGTTTCGTTGTTTTTGTTCGGCAATAAACGAATTTAACGTCTGAACAAAGACTTTCATTCTTAATTACCCGAGTTATTTCTTCGGAAATAAATCTTTCACGGTTAGTTACTCCTTATCACGTGAAGGACGTAGAGCATTGTTCAAAGTATTTCTTTCCGAGAAAGGTACAATGTTTGAGTAATCGGAAGGTCGATAGCTCCGAGCCATACACTTTAGAATTCTATACGTTGATAATAACAAATATTCCAGTCGTCACTTACCTCTTCAGTTAAAGATGTCTGAAAATGTTTACTTCTTTTTGTTTGTTACAATATTTCTAAGTCAGTTAAATTCTTTTAGAGAAACGGCAGTTTCGGAAATCAAGTAGATAACTTAAAAATTACCTAACCTCGCCTACCAATTTCACATTTAGATCTAAAATATGCATAATTACTGTATCATTGTGTTAGACAACTTGTACTTTTAGAACTGACATTACAATAATTACTGTATCATTGTGTTAGAAAACTTGCACTTTTAGAGCTGACATTACAATAATTACTGTATCAGTTGTCTAACACAACAGTTCTAAAAGTACAAACATTACAATAATTACCATGTCAGTGTGTTAGACAACTTGTATTTTTAGAACTGACATTACAATAATTAATGTTTCATTGTGTTAGACAACATAAACTTTTTGTATTCACATAAGAATAAGTTACACTACATACACGATCATGTTAAGGTTGTCTCAGTTACTGTGTATTAATTTAATAAAGTCCTTAATTGTAGTTGAAAGTTGTCTCAGCTAATGTGTATTAATTTAATAAAGTCCTTAATTGTAGTTGAAAGTTGTCTCAGCTACTGTGTATTAATGTGATAACAAAGTCATTAATTGTAGTTGAAAGTTGTCTCAGCTACTGTATTAATGTGATAACAAAGTCATTAATTGTAGTTGAAAGTTGTCTCAGCTACTGTGTATTAATGTGATAAGAAAGTCCTTAATTGTAGGTCAAAGTTGTGTGTTAAGAACGTTTGTTTGCATTATTGTACAAGTTTTCCCAAAAGTTTGCACATAGCCAAATTTGGCCCGTTAATCGCATATTTCATTTTTTTAAGAACTGAATCCCTTTGTACAAATATCATTCACAGAAATAGGAGTGGTTAATTGGTCTATTCACCTCGTGCTTTCCGTTAATTGGACTAGACAAAAATGAATAAACGTCAGATTTGACGCGTTCCGACTCTAGTCGCCCGGTACACCTAGTATCAATGGTTTCAGTCAGCTCTGCTTTTTTTAATGCAGCGGCAGCCACCAAAGGAATACCGGAACGGTGATTTGCTATCATCAGCGACGTTGGAGAGACATTCCGAGCATCTTTACGGACTTGATTTATGTAGTCAAAATTATACAATCTAGAGTGTTTATGTAGTAAATGTTGATTTAATACAATCTGGAATATTGTTCATCCGTGCTGTTAACTTAGTGTGTATCATTTCTGTTCAGATTTTACTTAAAAAGGTTGATTTTTATAGTGATTTTTTTGTTTAAGTTTGTCTTATGATCCTTATTCCAGTTTAGGGTTACAAGACAGATGAATCATGAGAGAGACAGAGACCACTTTAAAAGTCATTACATAGGTTTACTTCATATTCAAAACAGTCACAAAAGTAAATTTAGCAGATGGCACATTTTTTTTACCTCATATACACAACAGTTCCTAAACAAGGAGTTCGCGCTAACACTTCCGGATGTGTCCTAACACTTCCGGATGTGTGTGCTAACACTTCCGGATGTGTGTTAACACTTCCGGATGTGTGTTAACACTTCCGGATGTGTGCTAACACTTCCGGATGTTTTGTCCAATCATAATTTAAACATATGAACAAATAATCTTTAAAAACAGGAAATAAAACTTTGTTGGTGCTTGGGATTTAGACAATTCAACAAAGTTATCCGCGTAATCTTGTTTTTACACCTAGCACTTTGGTTTTTTTTTTAAGTTTCGGAAACTTAGTCGCTAAGCCCACCGTTCCTCTGAACTCACTTTACGAGGCAAACACAGTTTTTGTTTTGGTTTCCCAAACGATAACCTTCAAGAGACAGATGTAGAACTGCCTATAAAATGAGATGTTCTATAGGAACTGGCCTGAATTCAGTACATCAATACTTGAGCTGAACAACCCGCCTCTACTTATTTCATGAAAGCTCTCCAGTTAACAGATTTTTCATAACGATATTTTTAACATAACAAAGTCACTTGATGGTCGGTCAATCACGTACGATGAACACCTCCAAAATAATCAGCGGGCGAAATGTTTCCACCAGGTGTCGCAGCAGTAGCATTAAACACTGCGCTGGAATACACTGGTCTTTGAATGGCTGCTGCTGCTGCTGCCGCCTGGCGGTACTGATAGTCTAAATTAGCAGCGTAGCCAAGTGAAGGGTGTCCAGAGAGGCTAGCGTAGTGGGCTATCCAATATGGGGACGTTTGGAGCATTCGTTGGACAGCTGCATAATTACCAGCCTCAGCTAGGAGTTCCAGACCAACAGCTGTTTGTCGTTTCCATTTTGTCCTGGAGAGGAAACAGTCAAAGTTATCAGTACATCAGGAGATGATAATTGTCTAATCATGAATTACAGAAACTGGGAAGTGGATCGTTAAGTACACTTTAGGCCTCTGACTGAGAGAACAATCTAAAATGATAGTAAGAAAACAAGTAAACGTTCTGAACATTCCGCTTGGAGCGCATGTCAAACAGAATCGTGGTTACACTATCTGAAGGAGAAACTTAAAACTGATTAAAGTCTGACGTAATATTATTAAACTTGGGTTACTCTCCTACAACTGATTAAAGCGTGACGTAATATTATTAAACTTGAGTTACTCTCCTACAACTGATTAAAGTTACGCCCTGTACGTTACCTCTTCATTCACTATAAAATAAATATTTACTACTACGATAAGGTTGAAATAAAAGCTAGGTTAGAAAAACGAAACGATTTAAAAACAGGATGTTTATAAAACCTGATAATATCATTCAGAATTTGGTGTCGTTCAATGTAAATTTACTTTAACACTGATTGTTTCTCTTTAAGCATATCTAGAGAATGATTAATATAACATTAACATATGACAATAGAAAAAGTCTTTTGTCAGAGAACTGCGGGAAAGACTAATAAATCAATACTATTTATAAATTTAATTGTAACACCAATTATCTGTTATCACATTTTTTTTTTAGTTAAATCAACTTTCCGAAGAACTGGAGAGCCAGCAAACAACAACGACACGAGTTGACGTCAAAACCTTGAAGAAGTCTTACAGGTTGGTTGGGGGCCTCTAGAAATAATACTTCTATTACAGCTATAATTGATAACCTAGTAGCATTGCCCAGCCTTGTGTTAAACGTTTTTTTTTTTTCTTCTCTCTTCCTGGAAATGATGTTGATTGTTTTAGGACCACAGTAGTAGCTTGGAGACAACATCAATGTAAAGAACACAAGACTGGTAGCTAGAAGGCAAATGAAACTCATCAGTTCACTGCTTCTGATCCCGCCGCAACGAAATGGTTAGATGTAGATAAAACACGCTGTTTGTTTGCTATGGCAAGTGTCCCATAGGCGGATCACATAAACGTTTTAATTGTTATGACCGTTGTCTGCAGCCCTCCTGTTTTGTTAGGGCTCCAGTATACATGTATCACGCAATCCTGTCATTTCGCGTCATGCAGCTCGCCACCCGTCTTGATCGTCGGCTCGAGATCAGACAAAGCTCTTCAGATATAACGTTTTAATTGAGCAATAAAAGTCATATTTATCGTAAGTATAATTTTTTTTTCAACATCAATATGATTGATTAGGAAATGTCGATAAGCCTGAAAAATATCACTTAAATATAACTTAACCCCCCTCCCCCCCATTTCTGCCTAAACTTGTTTTTCTGATTCTTTCATTCTTCGATAATTCTAGCCTGTTCTTCTCGACTAAGTTCTGTTTGACGTCACAAATAAAATAAGAAATATTAATATATTTGAGAAGAATCCTGTTTCATTCATCATTTCCGGGGGTATCTTGAAGCCCGTGTAAACATGTCTCAGAATGTCGGAAGATGGAACGAAACGTTATCTAATCAGGAGGTGGCGTTAAATGATGTACCTATCCATTAAAGTATAATTAGTTTTGTTTGGAGCTACTAGAGGGCCATTTGCGCTAGCCGTTCCTAGTTTAGCAGTGATAGACTAGCGGGAAGATAGCTAGTCAACGCCAACTCTTGGGCTACTCTTTTACCAACGAATAGTAGGCTTGACCGTCCCGTTAGACGCCCCCCACGGCTGAAAGGGCGAGAAAGTTCGGTGATGGGGATTTGAACCCTCAGATTGCGAGTCGAGCGCCCTAACAACCGAGCTATGTCAGGCCTGTATGATTAGTTTTCAAGATAACGTCTGGATTTTAAAGGAGAGTATAACTTGTCTTTTGTAATATTAAACATCAAACAAAAACCTAAATCCTAGTACACTGATGTTACACTAGGGATGGTAACACCTCTCGATACTGTCAAGACCGCCTTGCGCTACATTAAGTATATTTTAGTCATTTCTGCGCTTGATGTCTATAAATACCACATTTTCTGGGATTGTTCTTTTAGTCTGCCTGGGTAATTTTTGCCTCCCCCTCAGTAGTGCAGTGAAGTAAGTATCACATAATAGTATTATAACGATACTCTCTGACTCAGGGTGTTATATAGATTATGTTGTTGATATAGAAACGATGTCTCGAAAACAAGGTATATAAAAAAAAACAACCAATGACAGAGATTTAAAGATTCACGTGATCCAAATTCATCTCGGTTAACCTAAGCTGTAAAGTAACTTGTAGACATATTAATTGTTTCTATTTTTTGAAATACATAGTTTAAGATATTCATCTCGAAGTTTCGGTACCCATAGCTCTTCGTTCGTTGTAATCCTTCGATTTATCTTTGTGACAAAAACAAAAATAACGCTCGTTCTCTAGTTGATAAAATAACTGTCTTGTCACAAGAGCTGGTACCATAACTGTCTTGTCACAAGAGCTGGTATCAAACTGTCTTGTCACAAGAGCTGGTACCATAACTGTCTTGTCACAAGAGCTGGTACCATAACTGTCTTGTCACAAGAGCTGGTACCCGCCTTGCGTGTATAACGTTGTCTGTAGTAATGTGGAGACAGAGTTAACGACGTCTGATTCTACTCTTAACAGAGATTGTGACACCACGATTGTCGGTTAATTATGCTACGAAACAAGTATATCCTTAAATTTACTTAACTGTTTAAATGATTACCGATGTTACTAGTGCAGAATATCAGAGGATATCATAACCCACGAACTGTGTTATCTGTGTAGAATATCACTGAATATCATAACCCACGAACTGTGTTATCCGTGTAGAATATCACTGGATATCATAACCCACGAACTGTGTTATTTGTGTTGAAT